CTGCGGGGGCTTACGCCGCCGGGCGCCGTCGTGGTCGCTGCCGACACGGTTTTGACGTCGTTTCTGGGCTGCCGAGCGTGGCTAGTTGACTGTTCAAAGCGGTGCACTCCCTCGCCCTCCTAATAAAACCTGCCGAGGGATAAATAAACCAACGGGGCTCTCTTTCCGTTTCTTCCGAAGCAGCACCGACGTCACTTTTTTTTCTGTGTAGCAGTTTTTTTCGTGGTGGTATCTGAAGCTCCGTTGGGACGAAAAGCCTAATCATTTTGTAAACACTGTGCTTCAAGGTAGGGTCAGCGCTTTGTATTACGCTTTCACGTACTATGCGCTACTTTGAACTTCTAGCAAAAACGAGCTTGCTCTTTAATCATGAGAGATTAAAACGGTAATGGCTGTGTATGTGTGCTTTTATTTTTCCGAATACCCTGAAATTATTTTTTTTCATTGTTCCGCAGGGTTTTCCCAATAAAAAAGCAGAAAAGATGTTCGATTTTAAGGCTTGGGCTGAATACATCGTGGAGTGGGCTGCAAAGGACCCATACGGCTTTCTTACTACAGTGATCTTGGCCCTCACACCGTTGTTTGTAATTAGTGCAGTCCTTTCATGGAAGCTTGCAAAAATGATTGAGGCCCGGGAGCGAGAGCAAAAGAAGAAATACAAACGCCAAGAGAATATTGCAAAAGCCAAACGAACAAAGAAGGATTAAATGGGCCAAAAAAGGCCTTCCTCATGCAAAGAATCCATTTTTTTATATGAAACACTTGTACCTTTTGTGCTTTAACTGTCCTTCGATACTTGATCCTGTTATTTCTTGAAGTATGGAACAATACCTTCAACATATTTTTTTCTGCTGAGATGATTTGTCTTAGTCTGCTCAAGTGACACTTGTTACAGTCATTTAATCTACTACATGTGCTCTAGTGCAGGTTGCTTTTCTAAATTAGCATGTTAAATTAAAAAAATTAATTTGTTGGGTGGGATTATTTTTTTTCCTTAGCTGAACTGTGACTTAACAAGTGTCTTAAAATCATCAAATTATGGGGAAAATGTGAATGGTAAACTGGATTACAGAAAGGCAAGTTTTGGTGTACCTTCAGCAGAGCTGTAGAGAGAAGCTAGCTTCAGAGCTAGGCAGCATACCTTACCGGTCTCCTTTAAGGACACTGCCTGTGGCCCTGCGGTGCCCATAGGGGCTGCTGTAGTGTCTTTGATGGGGGGGCTTGTCTGCAAAGAGAACCTACCTTTGCTTTTCCTGTCTCCTGCACTACCAGCCATCAAGAGTCTTTAAATTCAGCCCAAACTCTAGGAAACTGATGGCTTGTTCTTGCTACCTTTGTCTTGAGAGGCCACTCATGTTCTACAAAATATGCTACTATGTTGTTTGGTTTGCCCTAACAATCACCTGAACACTCCACCTGCAGCTAACTTGTTTCTGCCTTCAGAAATTTCCTGCGCCTCAAAGAATAGCCATAAATGGGGTGAGACTAAAGGCCCAGGTGGCCTACTGTTGTGTGTCTTCGTGAGCTATAGCAGGCGGCTGGGGGAGAGTCCAGGAGGAGGGTGGGTACGCTAGCAACAGTAGCTCTTCCTACTTGCTAACCTTCTGGCTACGTTTGGCTTAGGACCTTGTGAGTTTAGGTGGGATCTTTGTTCTCATGGCTCTTGAAAGCCTGCTGCCTTCCAGGTTGCAAAATGCTGGCACACAGGAGAAAGTCCAAGTGGGGTTTGTGTTGTAAATATGCCAAAATTATTTAATCTTAATTCCAAATCATGTTTTCCTAATAGAGGGGATTAATTTTTCAAAGCCTAGTTTTTCTTAATAGTCTAGTTCTAAAGGGCTTGCGGCAGTCACTAAGTTTTTTAGACTTAGCATGCTTCTGAACAGCAGCAGAGTTGTGCTTTCTAGCAACTAGTCCTTCATTATGTTTAAAATTAAAACTTTAAAATAATTCCATTGTTCAAATGAGGAGACCTACAGACATGGCTGACACTAAGGGGGATTAGAAGTGCAGAGTCCAACTGAAATGACTTAAAGTAAATGTGAAGTATTGTTTATCCCCTGTCAATTTTGTTGGTCAAAGCTAGCATTATTAGAATATGACATTTTGTCACTTTATAAATACAGGGGATGAAGTCTCTGCCTTTTGTATGAAGTGTTGTCAAGTGTGTATGTGTTCCAGCTTTGATACCTACATAACTTAAAAACACATGGAGGAGAACTGATGAAGGAGGCACTGCATAAATAAATTTGATACTTTTTTCAAAAATTTGTGTGAGCTTTATTTTGACTTGCAAGTTCTCAAACATCATCTCTAAGCAAATAATCTGCACATTCTGTGTATCTAAACTATGGCCAAATAGATCCAATCATTTAGGGAAGTCCCTGCATACACCGGCAACAACAACTAGTATGTTTATTTTTTTTTTTTTTAATGACAGTCCCTTGTCTCAACCCCTGTGTTATTTTTCCAGCAGCTTTACCAAGTGCTTCTAACCTCTATTGTAGTAGTTGTATGTAGTTCAACTTAGTGGGATTTTATCATGTGCTTACTGCTGGCTGCAAATCAAACATTATTCAAATATGTTGTTAAATCTTAAGAATAATACAGTGCATAGTCAGTGTAGTGTCATAGTGATTCCTGCTAATGAAACCAACTTTTCCATCCACTTGCCAGTGGCACACTGGCACTGCCAAGGGAATTTACAAGCATTCTGAAGAACTATCTTAAACTGATGTGTAGGTTTGGGAAAATTTAAGTGTACTAATTAACTAAAATTTACTACATCAAAACCAATTTTAAAAATAAAAGTCTTCAAGGAAAAAACAATTTAGAACTCTTTAAGAAAATTAAGTTAGCTAGAAACCCTGCTACCTCTGAGTCCAAGAGTAACTGATGAACAGCAACTGTCAAAACCAAACTTGGTTAGTAACCCATCCTGTTTTTCACTAAACCCCAAATTTTAGAGTAGTTTTTGATTAAGTGATTAAGCCTATCTGAACAGTTCGGCAAAAACAAATGAAACTGCTTTAATATTACTTTATTGCACGCTCATAACAGCTGTTTACGCTGTCTGTTAAAATATTTATCTGTTAGCAATATCTGTACATTACAATTGTTTATTTATTATGACTACTACCACTGCCTGGTGGCATCCAGGAGCCTGGCTGAAAGGTATTTGCAGTGCTGGTTGGATCTTGCGAAGGCTCGCTCTTTCCATAGTAAGGGGCAGATGCGTGGCCTTTAACCTGTGTGTGAGCTGGTTCAGCAACAAGTCCCTCCTTGTATTCCTTGGCCTGAAGCAGCTTATCCTTTTCGGATACATCTTTGATTTTCTGTTTCATTTCTTCTCTATAGTTCTCGTTCTTAAGAATCTCCTAAGAACACAGCAGAAAGATAATTAGGTAAATCAGAAGCAAAGGCAATACATAATGGTGGAATAAAACATTTTAAACAGCCATTTTTTTCTTCATTTTGTAATCCAAATTTTTGGCTACGCAGGCAAAATTAATTGTGGCAAAATTAGTTAGTTTTCTACAACTGCAATTTCAGCCCTAGTTTAGAATGTTCTTCACATTTTGATCATGTTGTTGAAGCAAAACTGCATTGCGGTGTCCCAGTTTCACTATTCTATCGGATCAAAAAGGAAAAGAAATTAAATACAGTCATCAACAAATGTGAAAATGCATTAAAAATAAGGCTAACTTTTATGTTGTTTTCTGTGTGGGACTTGCTACTATATAGCTATTTATCACTTGCATTTCTTCCTGTAACTCACTATGCCTGTGACGTTAGGTATCTGTGCCCTGGGGTGCAGTTTGGGAGAAACAGGTATGCAGCCTTGACTCTACTAGTACATAAACCAAAGCCATGCAAGATTAATAAATAAATAATAACTAAAAAAAAAAGCTAGGGCAGAACTGAAGCTACTGAGATGGTACCAGAGAGTTCATCTTCAGCTCATCAGCTGAGGCAGCTCAACGCATCCTCAGCTGATGACTGCCTGGCCAGCAAAGGTGAACTGGGCAATGTGATGAGCACATTAAGCGCAGCACGGCTTAGGTAAGCTGTATGTTAACTCTAGGTATCCACCAGGCATATTAGCTAAAATAATTGTACTGCATTCATAACAGGTGTAAAATCTTACCTACTGCCTCTGCACAGGTAAAAAATTCAAATGGAAGTGATCTAGTTTTAGAGGTTTACCTCCACCCCTGATAAACTGAAGCAACTATCTGATGCACGATCCTACTACAAGGCCAAAAACCCCACCCAGGGCACGTATTCAGAGAAGGCTCATAAAGCTTGCTGATGCAACTTCATGAAGCTCTGTACTGAAACATGGCTGGGTACAGGTTAAAGCTGGAAATTCACAAATAAAGATGACCTGAACTGATGTGGCTGCTTCCACTGAGATGTGCTCAGGCAATTACTGGCTTGCAGACAGGTATAATACAAAAACAGCTGTTAGTAGGCCTTGCCACCTTGTTCAGAAGAAAACACAAAGAACTCCCAAAGTAAACACAAACAGCCCCGAAAAATACTGAAGTTTGGTTTTCATCTGTTAGCATATGTTTCCTATTAGAAGAATGATTTGCAAATTCTGATAAGACTTATCTGTGCTTCTGTAAGGGCAGATAGTGAAGAGTATTAGAAACAAAAGCAGAAAGGTGATATGAACTTCTGTTACGCTTTGAATCCAAATACAACTTAACTGTAACCAACACCATGTAACAAGGAAGCTGCTAATATCCACATTCAGACTGGGATACAGGAGGAAAAAGGCTGACCACTTTCTCCAGATGATTACAATTATATGGAAGAGCTAAGGAGAAACTAGACTAGTACAATTCTCTCCGAGCAGAAGACCATGACATTATTTTAGGAATGGCATTAAAATACATGTGATATTGCCAAGAGTTGATAGCAAGTATGTGAACATTTAAGAACATTTTAAAAGGCAGTATTTAAAGAAAACCTTAACTTAGAGATATCACGAAAACTAACACCTTTTTCTTAGTCCTTAATTGCCTCTATACTTGACATTCACAGATGCACAGAGCAGAGGCAAAACACTTCACACACCTATACAGCATGAATATACACAAGCAGCACAGAAACGACTTTGCAAACTGAAGTGGGGGTAGGGGGGGAGAAAATTCTCCCATACTCAGATAAAAATATTGCCAAGCATAACAAGGTCAAATTTCCAACAGTCAGTATAGCAAAACCACATTATAACATCTCTCAATTCTGTCCTTGTTTACCACATGCCTGTATAAATCTACCATGACCTTACTGATTTCAAGGACAGTACTCCTATGGTGCTTGCATTACCCCACTACTAAGAAACAAGTAATATACCTTTGTGATATCTGAAGACTGCATCATAGTCTCTGCTAAAACAGCATGAAATGATTTATTAAAATACGAACATAATTCACTTACTGTGAAGAGCTACTTACAAACTTCAAATCTTTTCCAGTGATTACTTCAACAAAGTTATTCCTGAAGAGGAAAGACCTGTCGCATCAACAGAGACGCTGGAGCTGAGTAAGGCAGCCTGATCTGCTCCTCATGTAACAACCAGTGCAACTAAGAAAAGGCAATGGGTGACAGTAGTAGGCAACTCTTCTGAGAGGTACGGAGGCACCCATCTGCCAACCTGACGCGCTGTCTAGAGAGATGTGCTGCTTACCAGGGGTTGTGTCAGGCATGTCACCAAGAGACTACCAAGCCTTGTACAGCCCACTGACTATTATCCGCTGCTGTCGTTTCACGTGGGCACCAGTGATACAGCCAGAAGTGGTCTGAGGAGTATTAAGAAGGATTACAGAGCCCTGGGAGCTGCCGTAAGGGACTCTGGAGTGCAGGTAGTTTTCTCCTCAATCCTCCTTCTCAAAAGGAAGGGGTTTGAAAGGGCCAGATGAATCCCGCAAACCAACAAATAGTTAGGGGACTGGTGCCACAGCCAGCGGTTTGGCTACTTAGACCATGGGACTCACTTCGAGAAACCTGGTCCACTGGGGGCTGACGGGGTCTGTCTGTCAGAGAAGGGGAAGAGCATCTTCGGCCATAGGCTTGCCAAGGTGGTGAAGAGGGCTTCAAACTAAAGTTGTCAGGGGAGGAGAACCTCAATCCATCCCACTCCTACCAGTTTGATGCCAGCGCCAGCAAGAGATGCCCAGAGCCTGGAGAGGGATCACAGGTCAGCAGGAGAGCACCTGAAGAGCAGCACAAAGGAATTCCAGCCAGTAAGTCAGCTTCATTGGGGGCCCAACTTAAAAGCCTCTGTGCAAATGCATGTAGCATGGGGAATAAACAAGAGGAGTTAGATGAGTGCACACCTGTAGGGCTATGATCTTATCAGCATCACAGAGATGTGGCAGGATGGCTCCTATGACTGGAGTGTTGGAATGGAAGGATACAGGCTCTTTAGGAAGGACAGGCAGGGAAGGCAAGGAAGGGGTGTCACCCTCTATGTCAAAGACCAGCTGGAGTGCGTGGAGTCTGCCTGGGGATGGATGAGGAGCTGAGCCTATGGGTCAAGATTAAATGGAGGGCAGGGACAGGTGACATTATAGTGGGGGTCTGCTACAGGCCACCCGACCAGGAAGACAAAACGGATGAGGCCCACTATAGACAGATAGGAGCATCCTCATGTTCACAAGCCCTGGTCCTCATGAGGGACTTCAGCCACCCCAGTATATGTTCGAGGGACAACACAGTGGGGCATAAGCAATCCAGGAGGTTCCTTCTCCAAGTGACAGAGGAGCCAACGAGGAGAGGTGCTATGCTGGACCTTATTCTCACCAACTAGAAGGGGCTGGTGGGGAATGTGAAGCCCAAGGGCAGCCTTGGCTGCAGTGACCATGAAATGGTGGACTTGAAGATCCTTAGGGCAGTAAGGAGGTCTCACAGCAAGCTCACTACCCTGGACTTCAGGAGAGCAGACTTTGGCCTCTTCAGGGATCTGCTTGGTAGAGTACCATGGGATAAGGCCCTGGAGGAAAGAGAGGCCCAAGAATGCTGGTTAATATTCAAGGGTCACCTCCGCCAAGCTCAGCAGTGATGCATCCCAACAAAGATGAAATCAGGCAAAACCACCAGGAGGCTGGCATGGATGAACAAGGAGCTCCTGGACAAACTCAAACACGAAAAGGAAGCCTACAGAGGGTGGAAGCAAGGACAGGTAGCCTGGGAGGAATACAGAGAAATTGTCCAAGCAGCCAGGGATCAGTTTAGGAAAGTTAAAGCCCTGGTAGAATTAAATGGCCAGGGAGACCAAGGGCAACAAGATGTCCTGGTTTCAGCTGGAATAGAGTTAATTGTCTTCCTAGTAGCTGGTACAGTGCTATGTTTTTGTGTTTGGTAGAAGAAGAATGTTGATAACACACTGATGTTTTCAGTTGTTGCTAAGTAATGTGTAGTCTAAAGTCAAGGATTTTTCAGCTTCTGATGTCCAGCCAGCAAGAAGGCTGGAGGGGCACAAGAAGTTGGGAGTGGACACAGCCAGGGCAGCTGACCCAAAGTGGCCAAAGGGGTATTCCACACCATGTGATGTCACATCTAGTATATCAACTGGGGGGAGTGGGGGT